CCTCCCCCCCCCCTCCCCCCATTAATGGGATCAGTAAGGGGAGGGGAGAGTCCTAGGAGGGTATATTGTGTAGGACTTTCCAGAAAATATCCATACTTCTCCCAGGAAGCTTAAGGGAGATTAGAATTTCCAAGGGATTGGGAGGGTTTGAGGAGGGTATATTGTGTAGTACCAGAAAATRTCCATACCTCCCCCATGGAAGGGGGTTGGAATTTCCAAGGGGTTGGGAGGGTTTGAGGAGGGTRCATTGTGTAGTTYCAGAAAATRTCCATACCTCCCCCACAGAGGGGGATTGAAATTTCCAAGGGGTGGGGAGGGTCTGAGGAGGGTATATAATTTGTGTACTAGATTGGCAATTCCAAAGGATACAGTGCATTGACAAGCCTTGGGCTTATATTTTTTAACAGTTGAAAAAATGATGAGAGATTGTGGTATGGATCGCACTCAAACAATCCGATATCAAGGTATAGTTTAGTATTAACTTATTATTAATATTGATAAGATTTGAAGGAGTAAAAGTTGATTATTTGCGTTACTGCTATTTTCACAAACATGTACTTGCCAGTTCCGAGCTTTTTGCAATCAAATCTAATCAGTCTTTCATATATTTTTATGACATGGAAAAACCAAATTTTATTGTACAGCTCGCAGCTACAGAGTTCGCATGTTTATGAAAGTATCATTCAAGGTAAAATCTGCATTTAAATATTTTTTTTTTTGAAAATCTGGAGTCGTGTAATAATAATGGTTATTCTCATTCAGCCCATTTCAAAACCTCAATGCGCTTTGCAATGATTATTTTTGGGGGAGTTGAGAGACTGCTATTACAGCACAAATTGCAGCCATGCAGTGTAGACTAGGGAGGAATTGGACTAGAAGTTGGCTGACCGGATCTTGAATTGGATTGGCAAAAAAAAATATTCAAATTTTCAGCCTTTAAAGAGTAGTGATAATCTTAATGTATAGAACAATCATGCCCAACCTTCAACATTTGAATTATGCTTCTAGATTCCGAATTTTGAGAGGTTTTTTAATTTTGGAAAATCAGGAASCRAGCATGACTGGACTGGACTRGACTTCGTTCAATTGGATTGTGCGGATCGAATCACGTTTTTTACTCCGAATTTGTGGCCTTTACACTTTATTTTTTATTTTAATACCTATAACTAGTAGTTCTGTGCTAAAAGTTTTCAAAAAAATCAATATTTTAATTTTTTTCTATAACTGGAAAACTATTTGATCTTAGCTTGACATTTTGGTGTMAGTGATAAAATGAGGTTTACCCAGAGTTAATGAGTCGTTCTGTAATCAAGAAAYGCAGCAGTATTTCATACATTTCAGGAATGAGGTCTAATCATTATTTTCTTTTTTTTTYCCAGATTTTGTACAAGCCTTAACTCAAGTCAAGTAAAGCACTTTATGTTAGCAATTTTAACATCTCTTCGCAGAAGATATCACAAAAGCACAAGAATTTTTATCAATCATTACACTCGTAGTCTGACTTGAAGTTTTGGCTTGCATGTCAGTCCTGTACTGATCTTAAAGAGTTCAATTTTAAAAGCACACACACACAGGCATTCAATCAGGTTCAAAGCATATCATAGAAGCCGAGACTGAAAGGTATTCTGGTGAAATGACATTATTATCCTCTGCTGTGTTCATCTGAGATACACAGTCGATATGAAAAATCTGTTAAAAGCCTTCATGCTCTCTGTCAGTCCAATGTATCAACATTCCACAAGTTATATCACTAGATACATCTGATAGTCATTTTTTCATATCATAAATACCGCTGTGATTTGAGAGTGAAGACTCATCTCCGCAGGCTTAGCCTCGCTTAAGAGTAAATCATTTGCAAATGCCAACATTAATGTAAAGAATGTGCAGCTTGAACAATACCAATGTTTTGAAATCCCAAAGACTTTCAGYGGTATCTGTGAATAGCTGACTTATAAACGAGGCTAAGCCTGTGCAAATGAGTCTGTAGTCTTCAAAAACAGCAGTATGCATCGAATGTGAAACTGGTGTATTATGTACTTCCCTTGTACCATTTTGGTCTCAGATTCTATGTTTTCGAGCCAGACAAAGATTTTACAATTGAGTAGACACCTTTAGATAACAGGTTAAATAAATGTCTTGGTAAACAGGTATGGATAATGTAGATAGAATGAGAGACAAGTGCAATAGCATGCTACCTTTAAGTCCTTGATACAATGCATCATGGGATACAAGGGGTAGAGTTCTGCAGCATCTATACCATAAATCCTGACTGGTTTTATCTAAACAAATGAAACCTTTTAAGGTATTTTACCTGGAATTAATTCCTTGTTTCAAAAACAATGTATTTTAGAAAAAGATATTCAGTAACTTAAATATGTAAAAAAACTGCAATACAATAATAAACTGCAACTATGATATGATGATGGTGATGATGATGATGATGATGATACAATGATGATGATGATACAATGATGATGATGATAATACAATGATGATGATAATGGTGGTGATTATGATGATGATGATACATGATATGATGATGATAA